GCCATTATGCTATCTGCTGGCCCCCCCAGCATGGTTTTCAAGACACTGGGTTTGGGACTCGAACCACGGCTGGCCATGTAGGAGTCCGGTGATGTAACCACTGTGACATCCGCTGGCCCCTTTATTTAGGTTTTGATGGCTCTACTCACTGGGAGTCTATTAACACTAATTAAGACGCACCTGGAGCAACGTGGAAACTCGACTTCTGCCAAGCTGGCGCCTGCCCTCTTAGCATCTCTGTTAGCAACGTCTGCACACGGTCAAGGCCTGGAAGGGAGAACGCAGACATGAACGTGTCCTAATGATGGACTTGTGGATGACATTCTTGTTTTAAAACTTCTTTTCTTGTCTAAGTGTTGAGTAGTTAAAAGGAAACAAACAAACAAACAAACAAAAACAGGTTTTAAGGATTTATAGATAACAGTTGCCTCTAAAGGAGAACATTTGTCTTCATAGGAGACTGACCTGTACCACTTTCTCAGGGCCCTGCTTGCTCTCCTGTCAAGAGGCTGTAAGTAGCCTGGATTAGAACACAGGCCCTGAAACCAGACCAGGGGCTTCAAGTTCCATCCAATCACCCACAAGCTTTTATCTTTTTGGTCAAGTTATTTTACTTCTCTTGGCCTCAGCTTCATCAGCAAAAAGGAAATTATAATGGGCCAGCATCTGGATCCTAGTCCTGGACCCAGTGGCTTGAAAAACATGCTGCATGCATGTGCGTACATGCTGAAAAATCTCGAGAGGAGAATGGAGGAGAAGGGATTGCGGTGTGGCCATCCCTGTGGTAGTGGGGATTGATTTCTCACTTTCCCTCTTTCTTTCTGCCCTATGGCAAAAACTAAAAAAAAGAAAAATAATAATATTTCTTTTAAGAGTTATTGTAAGGAACGAAGAGTTGATACATGTAAGAGGTTAGAACAGTGGTTGGTACAGGGAGTACAATAAATATTAAATATTGCTGTGTATGTACACATATGTGTGCATGCCTAGATAGAGATACACGTTTATGTGTGTGTGTGTGAGAGAGAAAGAGAGAGAGAATCCATGTATCCTTCTTTGTTTTCTTCTCCTTTACCTTCTATGCCCATTTTCCCTTCTCCATCGTGAAGTCAGATATGGCTTCAGCCCCACCTTGGTTTGAGTTTGACTCAGAAAATGTTCTTCATGCCCTCAGGTAGCTCCGTGGGTAAAATAGCTCGGGAAGAGACAGGTGATGAATGTTGCTGTGAACATTATGTGTGAACATCTTTATCAGAGGTGTGCATATGTATGCTGATACAGAGAAGGGGTAACTACCATGCCTGAGGATCTGGAAGCTCAAGAGAGTCTTCATCTTTTCTTACCCCCTTTGGGCACCCCAGTGTCAGTGAGTGATGAATGTGTGTGAGTAGGGTGGTCGCTGGTCCTAGCAATAAACATTTTCTCATTACATGTGAAGAGTATGAGTTACCTGCAGAGACAGGCCTACCCCCACCAACTTAGTAATTACTACATTGACCAATTACCTAGCTTCTCTGGTCCTGTTTCCTCATTTCTAAAATGAAGATATAGATTTTATGAAAAAATACATTTATATATTAGTTAGTAGTATAAAAAGCTACATCGTGCATTTATTATTTATCACTGTTCTACTTTGAACAGTTCTTATCTATTATCACTTATTTAATTCCCTTAATAATCTTATAAGGTAGTATAATATTTTTATTTCCATTTTACAGATGAGGAAACTGAGTCAGGAAGTTACAGTAACTTACCACCCAGAGTTACCTTGCCTAGGATTAGAACTCATGGAGTCTGCGTAGAATCTGGGCCCTTGAGGAACATACTCCATTGCCTCTATTAAAGCACTGAATGTGGTGCCTGATGCCCCATAAGTGATCAGTAAGTGGTAGCTACAGTCATAGTAGTAATTCTCTCCCCTTCTCTTGGTTATCCAAGAAAAAGACAACCTGTCAGCAAAACTACCTTTGACTTGATGAGAGAGTTCCCCAATGAAAAAATTGCTCTGGGAGCTAAAAATGTTTTGGACAAATATGTCTTAACCAGAGCCTGACTGTAATTGTTGGGGGTGCCTTTGTTCTTGCAAAGATGCGTTAAGTGGATTACCTGCTGATTCTCACCGAGGAAGGGCTGGTGCCATGGGCTTCGCGGTGCTTTAGCTTTACGATCCTCCACCCAGAAGAGGGAAATGAATCCTCTCGGGCATGCTGCTGCCAGAGAGAGATGCCGTGACGTGCTGAACATCGCTGTGCCGAGGAGCCACTGAATAGCATTTGCACCACAGAGACAGAATTATTTATTTAAGAAAGAAAGGGAAACTGCAGAGTATTTCAAGCAATTCATCAGCGAGCTGGAACTCCCTATTTCAGAGGCAGAAGGAATTCTAAATAGCACACAGAGCAAGTAAATCTGTACCCAGGGCATTTTAATAAATTTGCTAAAGAAATCAGTGTCAGCTCTGGTTATCCTAGAGAAGAGGACATGCTCTTCCAGGGGGATAGTTGGTTTTTATTTGATTGAAATGCTCAGTATATTTAAATCTGGCAGTGTGGCCCTCTGAAGCATTTCAGCCGCATAACTCAGCTGTGTAAGAATAGTGACTGTCAGCGCCTAAATGAATGATAAAAAACATACGAGAGACCATATGTGGTCATCACCACAAAGACAAATATGCTAAAAATGCATGAATTCAGCAAATATAAGTAGTGCCTGCTACGTGTCAGGCACTGTGCCAGGCTCAGGGAATACAGGCCTGTAAGACACGTTGCCAGGGTCCGTCGAAGGAGGCCGGCGTGTTGGGAAATAAGTGCAGTAGGTATTGGACGTGCTCCGGTCGCATGTTAAAGGCATGATGAAGATGAAAACGTGTGTCCTGTCACCCTCAGTGTCCATAGCAGCCACGGTCATCTATGCCTACGCCTGGCTGGTTCCTCTCGCGCTCTGGGGTTTCCTGGTGTGGAGAAACAGCAAAGTTATGAACATCGTTTCCTATTCATTCCTGGAGATCGTGTGCGTCTATGGATATTCACTCTTCATTTATATCCCCACGGCAGTAAGTACCACGCTGACGGAGCGGACTCTCCATTGAAAATTCAGCCCAGATTTCGACTGAGTAGCATTATCTCTAGTACAACCCTCACGTGTCCCTGAAAAATCCCTCCTTGAGTTGAGAGGTTCAGCATGAATGGGGATCTTGCAGCCAAGTGCCGTCACTGGACCTCGAACCCTGAGTTCAGAAAGCTTTCGCCTCAGTCTGCATGCTGGCGGTGTTGCTCCAGCCTGTACTGAAAAGCCAGGGTGGCAGGGTGGCCCAACTGCTGATTGGCTGAGGAGCCTTTGCAGACATATGTGCCTGGAATGAGCAAATATGCCAGTGTGAAATGCCTCCAAAGAACCTCTTCCCTCCTCCTTTTCTCTTCTTTCAGATACTGTGGATTATCCCCCAGAAAGCTGTTCGGTGGATCCTAGTCACGATGGCTTTGGGCATCTCCGGGTCTGTGTTGGCCATGACGTTTTGGCCAGCTGTTCGTGAGGATAATCGGCGGGTAGCCTTGGCCACAATCGTGACAATCGTCTTGCTTCATATGCTTCTATCTGTGGGCTGCTTGGTATGGTTTTTGTTTCTGTCTTCTTCTGGTGTGTTTTATATGCAAATGCTGGGAAAGACCTCGAACTGTTAGACACGATGGTTCTATTAAAACTGACGCCAGGGGCCAGCAGGTGACATGGTGGTTAAGGCACTGGAATTCCCACATGGCCGACTGTGGTACGAGTCCTGGACCTGGTGGCTTGCTTTCTCCCTCTTTCTCTGGCAAAACTCATATGAAAATAATAATAATAACAATAATAATAATAATTTCTTAAAAAAAAAAAAAACTGACTCCATGAGGGACCAACAGGTGGCATGATGGTTAAATTCCCACATGGCCAACCACAGTTTGGGTCCTGGACCTGGCAGTATGAAAATCACACTGAGTGCGAGTGTATGTGTCCCAGATCTTGAGAGGAAAATGGAGAGGGGATTGTGGTGTGGCCATCCCCCCAGGGGTAATTTCTCATTTTACCTTTCTGGTGAGTATCTACAACTTATGGCAAAATCCTAAAAAATAAACAAAAAGCAAAAAAAAAAAAAAAAAACCCACAAAAACTGATTTTGAAATAAGTGTCATTTGAAATGTACTCTCCTAGATGGGAAGTAGTATAATTACAAGAATTCGTAATCTCTGGCTTGTAATCTTTCTTTTTAAACATTTTTATTGATTGATTGTTTTGTTCATGATAGTGTATGCATGCATGTGAGAGAACGAGAGAGAGGAGGACCCTTGACAGGGTCCCGTCATGCCAGGCTCCTCTTTGCCCTGACCTCTGGCTCCTCAGGACTTGAAGCGTGCACGTGTGAGCACCTGGCCCATTTTCAGACCAACCAGGGATCTCAATTTGTGGTCGGCCATATGGCTTCCAGCGCTGCAGTCCAGTGTGTGACTGACTGCCACCAGGCTGGGCCTTGACCTTAGTTCTGTAATCCAGTTAAGATTTGGTGTCTGGCCAGGGGAAGTGTGAGTAGATGAGGTTTATACAGAGGTTGTGGGGCAGGGATGGAAATTCTGCCTTTGGATGCCTTGCTGGTTTTCTGTATATACCTAGAAAAGTTTTTGAAATTTAGTGTCTCAGGGCTGGCAGGTGATATAGTGGTTAAACGTGCTGGACTCCTATGTGGCTGGCTGCAGTTCAAGTCTCCCACCTGGCGGCTTGCTTTCTCACTTTCTCTCTCTGTCTTTCTCTGGTCAAATTAAAACTAATAATAATAATAATAATAATAATAATAATAATAATAATAATTGAAGTTAAATAAAATAATTCCTTAGAAAAATAAACTTAATATTTCAAAGGTAGAAGCTTTAGAATAATGATAAATATGGGAACGTGGAGTTATTTTTAAGGTGAACACATGTAAAATAGTTTTGAGTGGATGTGTTTAGGTGCCTTTTTTAGGGAGAGCATCTACTTTTTTTTTTCTTTTCTTTTCTTTTTGGAGAGATTTTTGCTATAGTGCGCATGCGCTCGCCAGACAGACGGAGAGAGACAGAGAGACAGAAAGTGAGAAATCACCCCCCAGGGGGGATGGCCATGCTGCAATCCCTTCTCCTCCATTCTCCTCTTGGGATCTTGGGCACGCACACACACGTGCCCGGTGTGAGTTTAAGCCACCGGATCCGGGACTCGAACCGCGGTTGACTATGTGGAAGTCCAGCGACATAGCCATTACGCTAACTGCTGGTCCCAAGAGAGAGCATCTGCTTTTGAGTCAGAGAAGCCCAGACCAGCTGTGTCACTCGTCACATGTGTGAGTTTGAGCCTGGTACGCTACTTCTCAGAATCATAATTTCTTTTCTCTTTTCCATCTGTTCTGATCTCTTCTCTTTTCATGCCAGAGAGCATTTACACATGCCAGAGAAAGGGAGAGAGAGCACCCCTCAACAGGTTTGGTCACGCCATAATCCTTTTTCCTCCTTTTCTCCATTATCGGTCTTGTTAGGATCCCGGGGCACACACACATATGCACCCAGCATGTTTTTCAAATTGCCAAGGCTGGGATTTGAACCATGATCGGCCATGTGGATCCAGCTCCCTCTGCACTGTGCTTTGCCACTATGCTGTAGGGCTGGCCTAGTCTTAGTTTCTTAATCTGTAACATGAGTATAGTATTTTTTGCTATATAGTGTTGTTTTGAGACTCAAATGATACATATAAAGTACTTTAACATGGAATATGTCCATCAACGTCCATAAATTGGATTTCTTTCCTTTGCTTCTAAGGAGACATGATTTTCTATTTTCTGTACACATTGGGCACAAAAATGGATGTCTGTGACCTTAACAGGCCCTGGGGCAGGTTTTGTTAGGGAAAAAAAAATGAAAGTCTGAGAATGTTAAAGTCACTGATAAAGGAAAGGATCTCCAATGGGAAGGTGTCTTCTAGCCTTGGAAAATATCCACACAGAGGGTGTCCAGACCCTTGGTTAGGTTTCGTAATTGGGGAGTAAATGTGTCTTCAGCACCATTTGATCTGCAGTGATTTTATAGATGTCTCATTAAATGAATTAATAAGATCCCAATACGTCATCATTAACCGAGTCTCCGAGGAAGTGCCAGTCTGTGAAACACAGAATAGTTTACGTGTACTTTACGTGTGCCTGAGCTTTGAACCTTTGAGATGGACCGTTGGTTGGAGCCACAGCAGAGTGACAGAATTAATTTCTGACCCTGAAGTATGGGTGGGTCTCTTGAAATGCTGCCGTGACTCTGGTTCCCCTCTATCTGCCAACGAGGAATGTCCTTTTCATTGTAATAAGCGCTCTCACCGTAATGCCTCTCGTTGGCATAGTCCCTTCTCTTGTCTGAACTTTTTCTCTTTCTATGCCTGGCTGAGAAGTTGAAGAAGAGAAGGAGAGAAGAGAAAAGCCATAGCCTTGTTCAGTAGAGAGGAACAGGGCAGATGGGGCGGACAGGGGAGCAGGTGATGGTGGCCTTGTTACCATGACAAACTCTTTGTGCTTGGGTCCCATGGCAGGGTCGTTTTTAACTTCTATGCCGTTTACTCTTCTTTTGTGGTAAATGGCACTAAAGTTAGGGTTTACCTGCCCATCTTGCTGCTCGAGAACCTTCTCAGGAGGGTAATTTGGAGGTAGAAGAGCCCTGGACTGGGAAAGGCTCAGCATGGTGACCCTAAGTCCCTCGTATTTCAGAAAGATTCCTAGATTCATGGGCTGCTGTGAGTGCAGCGAGATGGCTGAGAGCCCTTCATGCACTGTGCCACTTCTTCAGGTGTCAGGAAGTTAGTAGACGAGCCAAGGCCAGCCTGCTGCAAAGCCCTCTGCAGGACCTTGCACGAGCAGCCCGTGGTCACACAGGTCAACCCTGGATAAAGCTCAAGGCTTCCGCTCTAAGGGGAGTGCTGGTCAATGGTGCCTCTCACTGGAGCCTTCCCTGTCTCTCCTGAGCTTTTCACCTTTCCATACCAGGATAGAAAGAGGACGGCAGGAGAAAAGGCATTGCCCTGCTCAGTCCTGTAAGAGGAGCAGGGCAGATGGGATGGGCGTGGGGAGGTCAGTGTGAGCTGTAGAACCTCTTCTTGGAGGGGAAGGCGTGGTTTTCTCCTGGAGAAAGGGGAGCCATCCCATGGCCACGTATTTAGCCAGGGTTTTGTTCTCCACACTGGAAATCTCTTCCTCTCTCTCATGGAGGACATGTGCCCTAGGGTTAGGGTTAGAGAAAGAGCGACCCTGAAGTGCAGAGACTTGGGGACTAGTCCCAGCGCCACGCTTCTCTGGACTCCCGCCTCCTCACTTAGAAAAAGGAGCTGATTGTGCTCACCACAGTAACATCTTTATTGTCGCTGCACGGACTAAATGATATTTGGAACATGAGACACATGACAGGTCAGACAAACGGAAGACATTATTGTTAGAAGGGCAGAGAGGGGAATTAGCAGGGGAGTTATTTGAGTGGAGGGGCACCAGCTGGACCAGACAGCGTGGCTCTCTCACTGTCCCGTGGGAGCACACATCGGTGTTTTTGCCTTAGTGCAGTGAAGCATATGACAGCCCACACCTGCTGAGGGCCCCTCGGAGTGCGCCCATGTAATTGATCTCTCAGCGTGTCCTGGATCACACCTGGCAGGGGTGACGAAGGCCACACCCAGAGGTGCATCCTCGACTGGTGTGTTTAGAGATGTGTGAGCTTATGTTCGAGGTGGTTACTGTTGACATTAGAGGGACCTCTGCCCTCTTCCTACAGCGAGAGAGGCGGGTCACTCATCTTGCAGGCCACCACAGTGCCTCGGTCTGAGCTGGGCTTAGCCTAGGTGCCAAGTTGCTGCTATGTTGGGGCGGACAGGAGCAGATCGAAATCCTAGGGGAGACCCAGGGTGGAGCCTTGGGAAGACTTCCTCTTTGAGACTCTGCTGTCTCTTCTTTTTAAAATAAACGTCATATTTTAATTCTATTTTTTCATAAACTTTTAACTTTTTTTTTTTTTGAGAGGTTTTCGCGATAGGGCGCGTGCGCTCGCCAGACAGACAGAGAGAGACATAGAGACAGAAAGCGAGAAATCACCCCCCAGGGGGGATGGCCACGCCGCAATCCCTTCTCCTCCATTCTCCTCTCGGGATCTTGGGCACGCACGCACACGCGCCCGGCGTGAGTTTTTAAGCCACCGGGTCCGGGACGCGAACCGCGGTCGACTATGTGGGAATCCAGCGACATAGCCATTACGCTAACTGCTGGTTCCCATAAACTTTTAACTTTTTAAAAAGATTTTTCCATAGGGCATGTGTGCTTGCCAGAAGAGAAAGACAGAGACAGAGAGAGAGAGAAGGAATGTGAGAAATCATCCCCCTACCTCCACTGCCCGGGGGGGGGTCGGGGATGGCCTTGCCACTATCCTTTCTCCTCCACTCTCCTCTCTGGATTTTGGACACACATGCAACGTGCATGATTTTTCAAGCTGCCAGGTCCAGGACTTGAGCTGTGGCCAGCCATTGGGAGACCCCTCCCACCCCCACTACCTACTGGCCCCAGCTTTCTCTTCTTTAAAATGGAGAGGAAATGGCCTGTAACAAGGTCGTCTAAGAGAAACAATCGACTGAGTCTGGTGCATGGTTGGTGCTCCTGAAATGATAGCTGTGGCTGTTTTTAAGCATCTGTGGAATTAACAAATCATAGAATTAAAGCTTGCCCAAGGAATGGCCTTTAGAAATCATCTTCTCCCATCCTTGCATTTTACCTATCTAGGTAAACTGAGGCCCGCAGGGATGCAGTGACTTGTCTGCAGTCACAGTGTGAGTTAATGGCAGAACCAGGTTTAGAACCTGGGCCTCTTGGCTCATTCTGTCTGGTGAGGGTGTCCTCCTGTGGCCTGGAAGAGGCACTGCTGCATGGTGGGGCCTCATGGCTCCACTCTGCACTGCAAGAGAACCGGAGGAACACAGCCCTGGCAGCGTGGCTTCCATCCCACCCTGTAAGTTAGGGAATGTTCTTTCCCCACCCCAGAAATCAGCTACAGAAGGGGACCCTGGGAAGGAAGCCTTTTAAAAGCATGATAGTGCTCTGGGAATGTGACAACCTAGAGAGCATGTGCCGGAAACTCTGAAAAGGACTGCTGAAGGATGGTGGAACAGGAGTGGTGCGGAAAGCTGCAGCGTGGGGTGTTGCTGCCCCCTGCTGGCTGATAGAGAGCAGAGCCGGTGAAGGTGATCCTTGCCTCTGGTGGCTTTTTAACTTTTTACCCTCTGGTGGCTTTTTAACTTTTTACCCTCTTCAGGCACTGACACCAAGGTGGGGTCACCAGCGTTCAGTGGCCCCTGGCAGACCAAGTGACTTGTCTTTCCTTGGACAGCCAGTGTTCAGGGCTAGTGAGATTGGTATTAGCTGAAGTTGAAAGCGGGGAAGATCCTCCCGGATGTCTTCCCTCCTCCGGCCCCTCCTGGTTTTTGATAGCAGTAACTAAATAGTAGAAGTTGAGGGGAGTGCGTACTGGGTCTCCCACTTCTAAGCCGAAGAATCGTGGGCTGAGCGTGCCTAGCATGTGCCCAGCGCCTTCTTTTCAGGCTCTTTGTAGCAAGCGATGAACTGGCTTAGCAGCAATCTGTTACCCCAGCTGGTTACGCAGTGATCATTGACGTAGTGTGCCAGGCCTTGTGTGAGTTGCTGGTGGCACAGAGATGAACAAGGCTGCAGCCTCCGCCCTAGAGGACAGACCGCATCCTGTAGTGATTAAGAGCTTGCACTTGGGACTCAGACAGTCCTGGCTTGGAGTCCCATCTCCAACACATTATCCACGCGTCCCTGACCAATGACAGTCTCTTGGAGCCTCAGTTTCTTCATCAGTCTAATATGGACAATTGTAACAACTTCAGAGGATCTTTTTTTCTCTTTTTTTTTTCCTCTTTTTTTTTTTTTTTTTTTGAGAGAGATCTTTGCTATAGGACATGTGCACTCGCCAGAGCAACAGAGACAGAAAGCGAGAAATCATCCTCCCAGGGGGATGGCCATGCTGCAATCCCTTCTCCTCCATTCTCCTCTCAGGACTTTGAGCACGCACGCACACACGCCCAGCATGAGTTTCAAGCCTCTGGGTCCAGAACTCAAACCATGGTCGACTATGTAGGAGTCCAGCGACCATTACACCATCGGCTGGTCCCAAGGATCATTGTTAAGTCATGTGGTACAGTAAGTGCTCAGTAAAAAATAGCTAGATTCAAACAGGTGCTCATGAGATGGTTGTCACTGCACGTGATGACAAATCAGCGGGGTACCAGGGACCACGGGAACTCAGAAGTACTCCTTGTGTGGAGTGAAGAACAACACTCACCCAGACAGCTTTTTAACTCTCCTTGGGGGTCTCTTTTACTACAGGCCTACTTTTTTGATGCCCCAGAGATGGACCACCTCCCAACAACTGTAGCTACTCCAAACCAAACGGTTGCAGCAGCCAAGTCCAGCTAACGAGAAAAGTAAGCGGTTGTATATTTTTATCTTCTAGCTATGTGGTGTCGTAAGAATGGACAGGCGAGGCCGTTCTGTTACCGTTAGCATCATGAACAGAGAGGGCCAGATGCTTCATCTTCCTGTGTAGTTCAGTGTGGGCATGTGCACATCTGTGTACGTGTGTCCCTCTGGTTAAAGGCTTCCGTTTGGACATGCACATGGTAGTGGCCTTATAGAAGTGGGGGAACATGAGCTCTTAGGCCCTTCTGTAAGAGGAGCTCCTGCCTTTGGTCCCAGCCTCCTCTCCTGTCTCCTTCCGTTGTCCTCTCCACTGGCAGGATATGAGTTTGTTCCATCCCATAAAGTCCTGGTGGTTTTTCTAGCATCTCTGTGACTTCTCAGGCCAGCCTCAGACTCTGAGTTTGGCCCCCTCATAGGGTTCTCCAAAGCTTACGAATTTTCATGCCTCGTTTGTTCTCAGGGCCTCCTCGGTGATCCTACTGTCAATGGTTAGCTCCTTGGTTAGCATGTGGGAGAAAAACCCAACTCCAAGGCGGTTTCTTGCTGCTCCGTCCCTCCTCCGTTTACCAAGGCTGCAGTGCCGGGCTTCCTGCCATCTTCGGCACAAGTCATGCTCCTGCATTTGCCGTTCTGGTGTCTGGAATAGTCTCTCCCCTAACAATCATCACTTACCTCGTGATACTTTGCAGTAGACACCACTCTCTTATGGTGCTTGAAACACTGTTGACTGTTTCTGTGTCCATCTGACTATCCACTATTCTCTGGGTCATTTATTCATGTATTCATTCACAAAGTTTGCTAGTGTGTCTCCCCAGTGAGACTCAGCTCCACGAGAACAAAGAATGGGTGTTATTCCGTCTCCTCGTTGGGCACCACAGGATGCCTGCTATACAACACGGGTGCCCAGTCAGTGTTTGTGGAACGAATGGCTGAACCTGCTCTCTGCGTGTGATCTACTTGTGAGCCAAGGACCTTTACTCTGTTTATAATCACAGGCTGCCCTTTCTGTACAAGCTACATTTTCCCAGAGCAGGGGGACATGTGCAAAGGCTAGGCCTCTGGAGTCAAAGTATGTGGGTACTTCAAAAAGTTCACGGAAGGGGCCGGCAGGTGGAATGGTGATTGGGGCACTGGACTCCCGCATGGGTAACAACAGTTTGAGTCCTGGACCTACTAGCTTGCTTTCTCACTCTCTCCCCTTCTCTTTGGTCAAATTGAACAATAATAAAAATAATAATAATAAATTACTCTTTTAAAAAATAGTTCATGGAGGAACCAGCAGTTAGCGTAATGGCTATGTCGCTGGACTCCCACGTAGTCGACCGCGGTTCGCGTCTCGGACCCGGTGGCTTAAATCTCACGCTGGGCGCGTGTGCGTGCATGCCCAAGATCCCGAGAGGAGAATGGAGGAGAAGGGATTGCGGCATGACCATCCCCCCTGGGGGGTGATTTCTCGCTTTCTGTCTCTATGTCTCTGTCTGTCTGGCGAGCGCTCGCGCCCTATAGCGAAAACCTCTCCAAAAAAAAAAAAAAAGTTCATGGAAAAATGGGATCAAAGTGTGAATATATTTTGGTACTAAAACTAAAACTCTATGCAGAGTTTTATCATAATATGCATTTTCTATAAACTTTTTGAAGACCCCCCCTATAGAATTAATATTAAGTCCAGCCCTAACAGCGACTGGCAGTGAGTGCTCTGTAGACAAGGTGCTTACTTTCCTTGAGTGTCAGCTGACTCGTCAGGTGACCCAACTATATTATAAGGTTGTAGTGAAGATTAGCAGTAATGTTTCTCAAGGCTCCTGGCACATATTTAAGGTGCTTATTCATAGAATCTAAGCTCCTACTCCCTTAGAGTAGAGCAGTAATTAGCATTGCAAACCGGTGGGCCAGCTGGTGGTGTAGGCAAGCTGTATCCATGGCTGACAGTGCACTGGGCACGTGTGCATGCAGTCCGAAAATCCTGAGAGAAGAATAGAGGAGAAGGGATTATGGTGTGGCCACCTGTCCTGAGGGGTGATTTTTCTGCCCCCTCCAACCCTGTCTCTCTCTGGTGGGTACACATACCCTATAGAGAAATTATTAAAAAAAGTTAGTGGTTCCCACTGGCTTCACCTTGACCCTTTGTTTCCTTTGTGTGAAACAAATGGGATTTCTGTCTGAGCTGAGGAATTCAGGTTGCAGTGGCCCTGACCAGTGGGACGATAGGGAGCTGCTATACAACATCACAGTCCACCAAGTTCCCTGCTTCCTCTCCGCTCATGGACGTGTGATGTTAGAACAAAAGAAGGTCAAAGCCCTTGGGCTGAGTATGAGCTTCCCTCCTCATTTTCCAATAAGAAAACTGAGGCCGCAAGAAGGCAGAGCTTTGCCTAAAGCCATCCTAGAGTTTGGTAGCAAACTATCGTGTATCATATTTCATTTTACAAGACATTTTTCATATCACTTTCACATTGTCTGGCCGGACCAGCCCCATCACCCCTATCGTACGGATGAGGAGGCTGGGCTTAAGCCAGAGATGGCTGAGAGCACCGACTTCTCGCAGGCAGAACTGGGATGCAAATGCAGGTCTTGAGGAATCAGTTATTTTTTCACCTTCCCTTTTTTTTAAACTTCTAAAATTCATAGGCTCTCACTGCTGCCCTTTGGCTGTTTTTTGGAGCCTTTCTTTACTGGTCCAGAGGTGCTTTAGTTCAGATCTTCATACTTCTCTGCTGGCTTGTCCTGTCAATTGAGATTTCGAGTATCAAATTTATTATCTAGTGCAGCCTAGCAATATTACCACAAATGCACATTTTCACAATTTAGGTGGGGCAGGAATCTGGGAATAACTTAGGTTGTTCCTCTCCTTCAGCTTTCCTCATAAGTCTGCCAAGTGTCGGCCAGAGTTGCATTCTCATCTGAAAACTAGGCTGGGGAAGGCTCTTTCTCTCAACTCACATGGTTGGTAGCTGGATTCACTTCCTGTGGCTTGTGGGAACAAGGTCTCCTTGCTGGCTGCCCTGGGTTCCTTGCCGCGTGCTCTTCATCTGATCACTTACATCGTCAAAGCCATAAATAGAGGGTCTGTTAGCAAGATGGAAGTTATTTCTCATATAACACAAACACGGCAAGTGGCAGCCATCACCTTCGCGATGTTTTGTTGACTAGAAGCCACACACAGGTTTTACCCACACTCAGGAGGGCGGGAACACTGGGAGACAGGGATCAGTGGAGGCCTTTTTTTTTGAGAAATATTTGCTATAAGGTGTGTGCACTTGCTGGAGAGACGGAGAGATAGAAAGTTAGAACTCATCCCTCCGAGGGGACAGTCACACTGCAATTCCTTCTTCTCCTGGGATTTTGGGCACATGTATATATATGCCTGGCATGAGTTTTAAGCCTCTGAGTCTGGGGCTCGAACCACAATTGACTACGTGGGAATCCAGCGATGTAACCATTATACTAACTGCTGGTCCCCCATTGGAGGCTATTTTAAGAGTCTCTGCTAAAGTCAGCAGGTGGCATAGTGGTTAAGGTGCTGGACTCCCACATGGTTTGACTATCGTTTGAGTCCTGGACCTGGCAGCTTGCTTTCTCACTCCTGCCCCCCAGTAAAATAAATAATAATAATAATAATAAAAAGTAAATAAAATGGAATAAAATAATTCTTTAAAAAAGAGAATCTAAGGACCTGCAGTTGGTGTAACAGCTATGTCGCTGGACTCCCATGTAATCGACTGCAGTTCGAGTCCTGGACCCGGTGGCTTAAACTCATGCTGGGGGCGTGTGTGTATGCCCAAGATCCCAAGAAAAGAATGGAGGAGAAGGGACTGTGGCATGGCCATCCCCCCTGGGGCGTGATTTCTTGCTTTCTATCTCTCTCTCTGTCCTTCTGGCAAGCGCACATGCCCTATAGCAAAAAAACTCTCCCAAAAAAATAGTCTCTGCCTTAAGTACAGACCAGTGCTGTATGTATATTTGAAGTATCTGCACATACTGTGTGGGGTGTCAACCCATATAGAGACTGTTCAAGCTTCATTCCTGATTTTTTAATAAAATATAAATACAAGTTCAACTATCATTATTACTGTTTTAGGAGCCCACTCCCTTCACATGAGCACATGGTAGCTCGTATGCTTTCCAGTTTAATGGTCTGCATGCTTGTTCAGCTCATCCTGCAGATGGGCCACACTGACTGCGGGCAGAGAAGGCCTCAGGCAGGGCGAGTCTCTTCCTTAGACTGACGTCCGTGGGGAGGGACCGTCTTACTTGACTTGGGCTCCCCAGTGCCTCCTCAAATGATCGTCTGGCACAGACAGAGCAAGTGCTCAGTTCATGGGTGGGTGGCTGTGGCCTCTGGTGGGATGAAGGCAGAAGTTAAGCTGTGAGCTTTTGCCAGAGGCTCCTCGGCTCATGAGCTCCGGGTCATCATTTATTCTGTCACTGACACATTTATTGAGGCTACTGTGTGACCTCTGTGGGCCAGGCATTGTGGATCTAGAAAATCAGATCGTTTCTGCCTTGGAGCCTCAGTCTGATGGGGACAACAGCTGGACAGGTAAGGACCGTGTTGTGCGAGCAGTGCCACAGACTGCGTGTCCGCTGAGCGCTGTGGAGACACAGGAAGGAGTGACTCTGTTGGCCCGAAGGAAAGCTTCACAGAGGGAGGGAGTCATGTCTGAGCTGGGTCCTGAGGGTTGGTAGAAGCAGTCTGTTACTTATTGTAAAACAGTGTGATCAGCTTCCCTGGCTTTGGGGAAGGCGAAGTGATAGACCCTTCAGTGGGCCAGGGTGACATGATGCAGCTCTGTGTCACCGAAAACGAGGGACTCTGAGCCCACTGAAGAGGCGTGGAGATGGGGAGCACACGGCAGCCTGCCTCTCGTTCTCTCTCTTTTGACCAGAATATCCAACATCACCCTGGTGAGGGGCCCTCTCATCCTGCTCCCGAGCTAGCTGGACCTTCAGTGCCCTCCTTACATCTTGGTTGTAAAAGCCCAAAAGCAAGTGTCCCAGGTGCTGT